AGGGTTATGCAATATTACATAAAGCACTACTTATTCGCTTTAGACCCACTACTAGCCAACCATTTTATGTGTACCAGTTGGTAACTAGAAATAAGTATGATATTTCACATTTATGCATATTTGGTTGTGCAGTATACGTGTCAATTACGCCCCCACATCGCACTAAAAATGGGCCCTCAAAGACGATTAAGTGTATATGTTGGATATGAATCCCCAACAATTATCCGCTATTTAGAACCCTTGACGAGTGATCTATTTACCGCAAGATTTGTGGATTGTCACTTTGAAGAGACAGTCTTCCCGTCGTTAGGGGAGATGGGAAAAAAGATTTTCCAAGGGAACAATAAGAATTGTCATGGAATGTTCCCACTCTCTATTATTTTGATCCTCACATATTACAATGTGATAGCGAAAAGAAATAAATACTAAATCTTCAAAACGTAGCAGACTTGATACTTGATCATGCATTGATATTACAAAAGTGACAAGATCATATATATACTAGCTGCAAATGTACCTGCAAGGCTAAATATCACTAAAAAAGGCACAACACCATCAGAAAGAGTGTTGCAACCACACATAGTGGAAGTGTGGTTGAGGCCATGGCTCCCAAAAGGAAAAGGGGGAGGCCACATGGTTAGATAGATACTCATCCAAGAAAGAAAAAGGAGATAAGGCACAATCTGATCCATTTATCGTCAATATTGAAAATCCTTCTCATGAGATTGTCTTTGATTATAGTTATGTCTATGAATCATTACTATAGAACGCTTGCGGAGGAACCCTTAGGTTTTCGGGGTATTGGATTCTCACCAATATTTGCGTTACTCAAGCCGACATTCTCGCTTCCGCTTCGTCCACTACCGCTCGCGTGGGTGCTTCACTCTAAGGCGGAATGCTCCCCTATCGATGTATTTTTACATCCCACAGCTTCGGCAGATCGCTTATCCCCGTTCATCTTCGGTGCAAGAGCACTCGATCAGTGAGCTATTATGCACTCTTTCAAGTGTGGATGCTTCTAGGCAAACCTCCTGGCTGTCTCTGCACCCCTACCTCCTTTATCACTGAGCGGTCATTTAGGGACCTTAGCTGGTGATCCGGGCTATTTCCCTCTCGACGATGAAGCTTATCAGGTGGCCTACACCCCATAAAAACTGTCTACCTGAGACTGTCCCTTGGCCCGTACGTCCTGACACAAGGTTAGAACTCTAGCTCTTCTAGAGTGGTATCTCACTAATGGCTCGGACCCCCCCCCCCGGAAGGAGGCCTTCTTCACCTTCCACCTAAGCTGCGCAGGAAAGGCCCAAAGCCAATCCCAAGGAACAATGAAGCTTTATAGGGTCTTTCTGTCCAGGTGCAGGTAGTCCGCATCTTCACAAACATGTCTATCTCACCTAGCCTCTCTCCGAGACAGTGCCCAGACCTTTACCACAATGATGTTGTCCATAGATCAAATTATTTTGTGGATTGGATTTCACTTGACTGTCTACGGTTCCATTGCGTGTGCYCGGGGTAGAAGTTTTGTATAAATGTATCGCCATGCTATTAAATATTTTGATTTAAGTTCTTTTCTTTCTAAGAGGTGGAATAGAATAACTCGGTTGAAGCGTAATGATCATACGTCTGTAATGCACTGAAGTCAAATTTGATTAAAAAATCTCAATAAATTATGAGAATGCACATGAGTTGATGGAAAGATCATCCATACTCATTGATGATATATTTGCATATAGTGTTGCTCATGAGATCATAGGGTAGGATGACATCAAACCATGCTCAGTTGAAGAATGTCAACAAAGAGAAGATTGACCTAAATGGAAAGAAGCAATCCATGTAGAATTAAATTCCTTGGTAAAGAGACAGGTGTTTAGTCCGGTAGTGCTAACTCCACCAGATGTAAATCCGGTAGGACATAAATTGGTCTTTGTTAGAAAACGTAATAAGAATAATGAAGTCATAAGATATAAGGCTCGCCTTATGGAGCAAGGCTTCACACAACGCCCTAGAATTAACTATGAGAAGACATACTCCCTAGTAATGGACGTAATAACGTTCCGCTATCTAATTAGTCTAGTAGTTTCTGAAGGATTAGAAATGTAGCTTATGGATGTCGTTAATGCATATCTCTATGGGGATCTAGATTAAGAGATTTACATAAAAGTGCCTAATGGTCGTCCACTACCCAATTCAAGTAACTCTAAACCATGGAATACCTTTGTAATTAAAATGAAGTGCTCACTTTAGGGACTAATACAATCCGGATGGATGTGGTATACCCGTATGAGTGAATACTTGATTGGAAGGGATATAACAACAACGAATTGTACCATTGCATTTTTATAAAGAAAACAAGTTCTGGATTTTCAATTGAGGTTTTCCTTGACGTTGTCTGTGTCAACAAAAAATTCCAGGACCTTGTTCAGAAATATCGTGATGAAAGGACTAATAGGTTTCATGTTATGTCCGAGGTAAGGAATAACCAGTTACACCAAAAGATGCAGTCGAAGACTAAACAACTCAAATCTTTCTATTTTTGTGTTGGATCCACAATTAATCCTATGGATCCATAGTTGTATATGTTGATGATCTAAACATAATAAGTACTCTTGATGAAATAAGAGACACTGGAAGTTATTTAAACTTTGAATTTGAGATTAAAGATCTTGGGAAAACTCAGTTTTGTCTAGGTATAGAACTAGAAAACCGAGCTTGTGGAATCCTTATCCACCAGTACGCTTATATCCATAAAATGCTCAGGAGATTTAATATGGATAAAGCACATCTAGCTATCGCTCTCATGATAATGACGAAGAGGTGTTGGGAGATGAAATTCCCTATCTACATGCAATAGATTGTACTTAGGACAATGTACTCGACCAAATATTGCATTCTTTGAGAACTTGTAGCTAGATTTAGCGCAGCTCCAACGCAATGTCATTGGAATGGTATCAAGAATATATTTTGATACCTAAAAGGAACCATCCACATGGACTTATTCTTTACCTACAAAGAGAAAAATAGGGTTACAATACATGTTAAAGGTATTAACAACGAAAGCATTATCCCCTACAACGAAACCCCAAACGATAAATTAGTAGGTTTGCTGATGTTGGGTATCTTTCTGACCACACAAAGATCGTTCCCAAACATGATATGTTTTTACAATTGGGAACACATAGATTTTTGGAAATCTACCAAATAAACCCTTGTAGCTACCTCCTTGAACCATTTAGAGATTATTGCTCTACATGAGGCAGTTCAAGAGTGTATATGGCTAAGGTATGCCATTAGACATATAAGAGGGGTTAGTAGTTTAAGTTCAACCACTCAAAATCCTACATGTATATATGAAGATAATGCAACTTGTATCGAACAAATGAAAGTTGGATATATCAAGGGTGATAATATAAAACATATTTTGCCATTGTTTTTCTATAATCGACAACAATAGACTTTCCTTAAGATTCAGGTGAATCAAGTAAGATCTGAGGAGAATGTGGCTAATTTGTTTACCAAATCACTGTCTAAGGACATTTGAGAAATATGTGGAAAACATTGGAAAGCGGAGACATTCCAAACTCCCTTGACTAATGTACGTAGCGGGGGAAGTAGTAGACAAAAGGGGAAGTCTACTATAGAAGTGATATTAGTATGTTGTGCTCTTCTTCATCCAAGATTTTATTTTTTCCCATTGAGTTTTGTTCCTTAGTGTAAGGTTTTAGTGAGACGACAATTTAGATACGATCTTATTTTTCTTAACTCTTACGTCTGATGTACCAATATGAAGGAATATATACTTAATGAATAGTCTATAAATAGGTGAATTGTACTCTTTTCTGTCTTATTTTTATTTTCTCCCACTCGATTTTTATTTTGACATAAGGTTTTTTTATTGAGTCAACAATAGTGCACCATCACTTCTTTTACTCGGCACAAGCAGGATGAAGGATAAATGTGTTATCATCAAAAGGATATGACGATAGAGATATATAGAGATAAAGATAAACATATTAGATTTTGATTATAATTATGTATCTCATGATTATCTCTTTGTAATCCCTCCTTATTTAAAGGGATTATGATTATTGAGAATAAACAGTTTTTTTTAATTCTCTATATCGATTTTTCCACAATAGTGGTAGATTTAATATTATTTTCTTTTCAAATACAATTTAAAAAAATTACAATTGAAAATAACGAAGGGAGTCTTGTTTTTGAAATATTAATCACTTATTTTATAATAAAGAAGAAAACAAAACATATGAAGAGATGATTTAACTACTCAATTTTAAATCATTTTACTTAATTTAACAAAATAATAACGATTAAATCACGTATATATTTCTAATGAGCATAAATGTATTGAATAACCACAACATGAAATTAGTCCCTTCAATTGAAATCAGAAGCCACCATTTTTGAAACCAAAGGTCAAAGTTATCTTACAGATTTGTGACCCCACACAATCGCCCACCACCTAATACAGAATTTTGTCACTGATTTTATGTTTTGTAATTATCTTTTGATTTTCCACAAAGATTACATCTCATAGTTTTGGTACAATTTTAGAAAAAAGAGGTTTTGAAACTAAAACCCAAATCTTAAGAAACGCAAGAACTTTCACAGGAGATGCATCCTATATACATGTGGAAGCTTCAAATAATATAAATATTGTAAAGAATGTATTTAATAAAAAAAGTTTATATATATATATAAAATTACATATTTAAATGTTTATACTTTTCATGGTATTAAAACATTTTTCTTTGAATCAGGTAGTCACAAACTCCAAGAAAAAAAAGGATGAAACCAAAACCAAGCTACACCTCAGCACTGCATCCATCTGATCGACAAGAATATTTAATTATGAGATGCAATTCTTCAATTAGTAGATTTTATTTGAATATTTTCCCCAAATTAAAACAAGTTATGGTGTGCAGGACGTTTGAACTTTTATGGAAAAATAAAGAGAAGCAGCGATAGCTATGCAGCAACATTTCCAAGATAAAAGCACGCTTTGGTTTCCAAAGTCAAAATAAATAAGACATAAAGATCTTGAGAGGGTACAAGGATACAACTTGTCTTTCTTCTTTCCCCAAACAAAGAAGAAAAGAGCGAAGCAAAGAAAGTGAAAGTTTAACCCAAAAGAATTTCAGGATCCATCCATGAACTCCGGGAAAATTAAACCCTTTTTCCTTTCACTTCAATTCATGAACATCTTGATCTTCCTTCCGGATGTAATGGGAAGAGCTCTAGGGTTTTGTTATCTTCCTCATGATCTTTGTCCAAGCACTCAAATGACCAACTTCTGCACTTCTTGTATGGGCTCTCCACTACTTCTCCCTTCAAAAGCAAGTAAAAAGACTGTTTATTTAACATGCAAGAACTCAACTTTCAAAGTACCCACAAGGAAAAGATTAAGTGTACACCGAAATAATTAAGGGAAGAAGCAGCATACTCTGGGGTTTAATGAGATGGAGTTGATCATGGTGGAGGCTGGGGTTGATCTTGGGGAATGGCTAAGGCCGAGGTTGTTGCGCTTCTGCTTCTGTCTCTCGCGTGCTTTGTGATTCTGGAACCAATAAAACACATTTTTGCCTTCTATCTTACCGTACTTGCTTAGTTGTGCAGTGATTTGTTCGATTTGTTGTGCGTTTGGAGTCCGCATTCCCCCTCTATACAACATCTCTAAGATCCCAATTTGCTCTTGTGTTGGATTCCACCGTGTTCCTCCTGGATGTGTCTCCACCTTCACAAAATTCACCATTGTCATGCATCAAGTTCCATTTTTGGATCTCATATTAATTAAAAAATTTGAGTTTAATTTCTGTTTCATTTCTTGTTTGTTCATGAGCATAATATCTTGAAAAGAGAAACAAATATTCCATTTCATGTCATAAAGATGTTTAAACAGTGAAGATCCTTGGCAACTGTAGGGACATGTACATGGAAAATTCAATTATTTGTAACTAAAACGTACTATAAGTAAATACCACAGCATTGCACCCAGCTTGTCTTCTAGTAATGTGTCATGTAATGCATGAAACGATATAGAAACACATCAACAACTAATGGTTACCTGAGGAGAATCTTTCTTGTGGTTGGGCGAAACAAGTTGAATGGGACAGCTTTCGGGTCTAATGAAGCTCTTAAGATCGAAAGCATGGTTATTACTACTACTACTATTGCTAACGCTAATATTGTTCATGGTGAAACAAGTTTCAGAACTACCACTAGTTGTGAGCTTAGGGGTGAGAGGTCGAGGGTGCAAACGCTTGCAGACGTCAAGGGTGAGGGCAGACGAGGAGGATTCATCGTCACCCCAGAAGCCACCTGCACCACGTGCGAATTGATGCACCTTCATGCTACTAAGTCCCATGAATATATGGGTAAAAACTTAACATTATTGATGAAGAGTGTGAATTATATAGACAAGAAGAAAGAAAGAAACAAACAAACAAAGGGTTAAGTTGTCATCATCATATCATGGTGAATTATGCAAATGAAGGGGAAAAAGAAGGGAAAGAAAAGCAAGAAAAAGAAAGTGGATGCCCCATGAAGAACCAAGACCAAATGATGAGGTGAGGTTGACTTGAGCGATGATCCTTTTTAAAAAGGAAACAACTCCTAATCTAGAGAGAGAGAGAGAGATTTGTATGGACGTGTGGTTTAGATCGAGTGAAATTCTTTCTGTCATAGACATTGATTATTAAACACAATATTCCATTTTAATAATATTACAAGATTTCTACACCAAACATGACTTTTTCCCTCAACAAAAAAATCCAACATTTTCAAGATTTGACATATATGTCTTTATTTATATATATATATATATATATATATATATATATATATCTCATATTTCTTACAAAATAGATCAACTTCAAACTGTATTTCTTTCATTAAAGAACAAAAACCCATCAAAGTTGCTTGAAAATATCACTAATTCCTATATGATACATAAAAATATGCTTAAAATCTTGAGATATTAAGATCGAAAACTACAGAAACGATGCAGTAATTATGTAATCTGAAGATAGAGAATGTAAATGCGTGTGCGTTGGGTTGTCTAATCAGGGCCAGGAGGTTGGGTTTTCACTTTTTTCTTGCTTTCATGATAAGGTGTGTATGCTTTTCGGTGGCCTCTTTGGCTCTGTTCGTGACTTTATTTGCTATAAAGTGAGATGAGAGGGAATGAGAAAAGATTCCTCCAATCCCAAAACTTGAAAATGGGAACCTTTTTTTTTTCATTTTTAAGATACGGATATGGGTATTGTCCATGTTGTTTTCCCTCTCAATCTGTCCTTGTTTTGGGTGGGAAGTGAATGCAGCCTTTTAGTGCTAGAGAATGTTGAAAAAGAAAGCAAGAAATATTAACTAATAAAAACAAAAAGGAAACTCCAGATCTCCTTCATATCTCTTACTCCCAAATATATATATATATATATATATATATATATATACATATATATATATATATATTCCATTGTTTTTCTTTGGAAACTGTAGCCATTTTAATACACTATTTGTTTCCACTCCACTATCTCTTCACATCTTTAACGCAACTATACCTGCTGACACAAGAGTTGATCTTGTCATTTAAAAAACTAGAGACTATGAAGCCCAAACTGGTACTCTCGTATGCCGACTGAATAACATGCAAATTAACTAAAAGTTTAATTTCAAAGGAGTTACACGTAGTGGAGTTGTGAGACTTGTAACACAAATTAATCTTAGTTTTATCTGGACAAGGGGTTCACTATTAGAAAAAGAGGTGTAGAGTAATAGAGACCACAAACCTAATCCTTTTCAGAAAGGGCAAAATGCATAAAATAATAATCTATTTTCATAAATTTTTTTATTATAATATTGTACTTTCAGTTTTTTTTATTACAACATTATACTTTCAAACTATTTTTTATTAAGACATTGTACTTTGGAAAATTTACTCATTATAGCATTGGGTAACCTTTTGATTTAAATTTACCATTATACTCTAAGAATATTTAATTTGAATGCAACTTAATAAGAAAAAGTAAAAAAAATTAAATGTTTTTTAGATAATAGCAATGAAAAATGAAAATCACTAATAATAATTTGAAATAGGTTTTTGTTTTAATTTTAGTTAAGTAAGATGTGTCATCCACATCACCTCATTAAAGCCACACAAACAAAAAAGTCAAAGGGTTAACCGGTTTAAAAGGTAACAGGTTACTATTGCTATTATGGGTAGATTTTTTAAAGTACAATGTCTTAATAAAAAATAATTTGAAAGTATATTGTTGTAATAAAGAAAAACAAAAGTAAAATGTTATAATAAGAAATTTTATGAAAGTATGTTGTTATTTCATGCATTTAACCCCTTGCAGAAATTAGTGATGGACACGTGTCCTTAGCTAATTAGACGAAGCGACGAAATCAATGGATTTTGATTTAAAATAATGAAAATTCACGTGTCCATTGCTAATCCATCGCTAATTAGTGATTGATGCATGAATTTTTATTTTTGAAAAAAAAAACTTCATAAGGGTTTTCTTTTACAAAAACAAAAAATAAATTGGGAAAATTATGAAAATAACTAATTTATACAACCCTCTTCCACAAAAATAACCAATTTTTAGGGCTTTTACGAAAGTAACCATACGGATCGCCCAGGGGGCGATCAGTACTGTTTGGGGGCAATTCCTATTTTTCTAAGAAAAAAAATTAATTTTTTTTTCTACCAGGGGCGAGCCACGTCATCAGATCGCCCCCAAGGGCGATCCAGCCTTTAAATAATTTTTTTTTTGTAATATCAATTTCACTATAAATACCAACCTCCTATTTCATAATTTTTCACACCTTCCCTTTCATTTATCTTCTCATATATTCTACTCTCACAACCGTTAACCCATTAAACACAATAAACCATCACAACCTTTAACCCATTAAACACAATCAACCATCACAAAACATGAAATCACGTCAAAGTGATGATGTTTGTGTGTATCTTCGAAGTGACGATTTATTCCAAGATATGAATGGTGTTGTAGAGTACCTTCCGATAACCTCCCCTACATGTGCAATACGTTTGTCTTCGCCAATAATGTATTCTGGGGTCGTCAAACGTGTGACGAAAAAGTTAAGTTTACGTGGTCATTTTAATGTATTTTTTAAAACGAATACGTTATATCAGTTTATGGACGACGATGATGTGGTCATCCTCCACAACGCCATTCGTCAAACTTTACTAGAAATGTTGACACTATATGTGGTCGACAATGGAGGTTGTGGAGGAAATCCATCAAGTGCAAACCCGGGCAGTCCAAACACTTTTTACCCCGGTGTTGTGAGCACACTATTTCCCGACGTTAGTAGTGCAAACCCATATGGTCCAAGCACACTCTTCCCTACCGGTTGTGCTCCTAGTGTAAATCAGAGCACTTTCTTCCCTAGCGGTGATAGTGGTGAAAATCCAAGCACCTTCTTCCCTTATTATGCCGCTGGAAATTCATATTTTGAACAAAAAGTTATCGTTGAACCTGACAGTTATTTTGTTCAAGACTTGAACATGCCTCCGATGAAGTCTCCCAACCCGTACCCGATCCGGTCTCCCGAACAGTCAAAACCGTTGTGGGAGGTGGATATGGCCGAAGATGTTTCTGTTGGTGCCGAAATTTTGAACATACCCAAAGACGACGATAACTCCGATTCTGAAGATATCAAGCCGGTAAGGAATAGTTTTTGGGGTATGCCCGACCCAACACCTTGTTCAGACCCAGTTATCAAAAGTAGACAGGAAAACATTTCCTACCAGCCTACATCCCATGTCAAAGTTCTCCAAACTTTTGACTCGAAGGAAACACTTAAGCTCGAGTGAGATTAAAATGTGTTCATGAAAACCTTAAGATGAAAGTAAAGAAATCTTCCAAACACCGGTACGAAGTGGTGTGTCACTCAGATTCAGACTGTGATTGGCGTTTAATGGTTGTTTCCATCGATGGTACCAGTATGTTTCAGGTACGGAGGCTCCATGATGAACACACATGTTCAAGGTCCCAACTGCACCCAAACCACCGTAATGCGAATAAAAAGGTTTTGGGTCATATACTGGAAGGGAGTTTAAAGGATTGTAAGAGAGTGTATCGTGGTAAAGAAATCATGGAAGATGTGAACCAACGGTTCAATATTAGCATCTCCTACCACCAAGCATGGCGAGCAAAGATGTATGTCTTGCAACTGTTGAGGGGGACCCCTGAATCGTCGTTTAACCTACTCCCGGTTTATTGTCACAATCTGAAGCTAGCAAATCTGGGGACTGTGACAGAGATCGCTCTTGATGGACTTGGACGATTCGACATGTTATTTGTCGCACTCAGTTGTTCGGTAATAATTTTTGTCATATTTTTTAATTATTGTCATATTTTTTAATCATTGTCATAATTTTATGTTCTGAAATTAGATTTTTAATCTCGTTGATCTGCAGATTCGATCGTTTCTAGGACACATGAGATCGCTTCTTATAATGGACGGTGCCCATCTGAAGGAGCCATACGTTGGCACCATGTTCTTAGTGGTCGGCATGGATGGAAACAATGGGATAGTACCCATTGCAATGGGAGTGGGGAAGACAGAAAGTGGCCCGTCATGGACATGGTTTTCGTGTATGCTTAGGCAGTGTATCGGTGATGTGCCCGATTTAACCTCTGTCTCTATCGACCTGGTCATACGAACTGTATTTCCTTCTGCGCACCACGGAATTTGTTGTCGGCATTTGAGCCAGAACCTCCGCCTAAACTCCACTAAAGAGAAAAGGAAACGGTGGATGTTCTGGGAGGCATGCAAAGCTTACCGCTTGTCGAACTTTGAAGCTACTATGGATTTGATGCGGCACAGTCTACCTAGAGCCGCTGCTCAATATCTTGAGGAAGTTGGCTACGTTAGATGGGCACGATCGCACTTCCCTGGATTGCGTTACAGTGCAATGATGTTCAATAGTGTTGAGTCCGTCAACTTAGTAACGTGGTTTGCACGCTATCTTCCGATAACAATGTTAGTTGAATTTTATCGGGCGACATTGCAATAATGGTATTTCATACGTCAGCATAACGGAGGTAAATTCAACCATCATTTGACTATATGTTTGATTATGTAACATATGCTAATGATGTCAAATATCTGCAGCACAAATGATGAATGCAGTGACTCCTTGGGCGGAGGCCAAATTAGAGAAGAGAATACATAGAAGCGCAAATTGGAAGGTATATCCCATCAGCGATTTGTTGTTTGAAGTTGACGACAGGTATACGAAATGAACTTGTGATTTGCATGCTAAGACTTGTACATGCATACAATGACAACTTTCTGGAATAGCTTGCGGTCATGTGATTTATGTTACTCGAAGTTTAGATATTCAAGACTGCAGTCAATTCTGTTTTGTTTGGTTCAATTCTGACTCTTACCGTGCAACATACGAGAAGGAAGTCATTCCCCTTCCACCAGAA